TTCCATTTAGCAGCGACAACAGGCAACAGTCGTAACTTGACTGATGTTAAAAGCCCAACTGGGGATTGGAGACAATTGCATGGTTGAAAGCTTAGAGTGGACCCAGATCAAAAGCTTAATGAGTTCAAACTTGAAAACATCAATTAACTGCAAATTGCAATCGTTGAGGTCAAAATCTGTGAATGGAAGCTCCGTCTGAAAAAAAAATTCCGATTGTGTCAGAAGCTTTTACGAACAATTTCAGTTTGTTTGTTTTTACTTCATGGCCCCCAGGAATCCATTTCTTCATCCTTTTATTCTGGGGATGAGAACATGGGTGTACGTGCACCATAGAAAAGAGCCGTTGTATTTTGGTTATTTATTTATACATTTTTTTGGAATGATTTTTAAAATTAATCTCTTGAAGAGTCCCATATTGTACGGATTCCTGAAATCTTTTCAAAGGAAAAATCGCCCTGCTCCTTCAAGAATTGATACTCTGTTCCACTCTGATAAATCTCTTTTCTCTATGCTCTGATGGTGTTTCATAATTTATCAGGTTTTACCCAGCCCAGTTTCCGTATCCTTTCAGAAATGACAGGCTCAGTGTCTCACTATCATGAGTGAAGTCAAGTGGATACATTCGGCTACTTCCAAATGACTTGGCTACGGCTAGTAATCGTACATGTTTCTATGGCAGTGGCTGAAGCCGTTTCCCATAGACGTGTGTTACTACGAGCCGTAGCCAAGTACGTAGTTTGTATGCAGTACTAGTGATAGTCCACCCTCTCTAGAGACACTATGGGGGGATGACGGGAGTGGGAATGACAGGACTGCTGCTTGACGGAGATTTGAAAATAAATAGAAACACGAGATATGATATACGACACCGTGAGCTGAAGGATCCTCCTGTGTAATATGCAAATAGCGCAGATATTAGCTGGTGTTTGTGGCTCTGCATGCATACTGTGCATGAAGGACTGTGCTAAAGTGAAAAATCTTTGATTGGAACCTCTGCGCCTCGCATATTTCGTCTGCTAGCAATTTCCAGTGGTTAGGCCATATAAAAAAATTAACTGTTTATCTGTCCCGCTGGCAAGCTTTTTTTCCCTCCTGCATCAATTCAATTGATTTTGGTATTTTTTCCCTCTTTTCTTAACAGTGAAATCTGTCGTATTTTCTGATATTTTCACTACAAGAAATATCTTGTGTCTCATTATTTGTTTAAAAGCTAGTCGTAGAGAAGTTGATGGCAATTTTAAGAAAAACAGCATCCGCCGTCTTGGAAAAATTGAATGAAAACAGTGGATGTTTTGAAAAAACACTATCTGCAAAGTTGGATCCGTCATTGGCCAAAAAATTTCTCCACTGAGGTGCTTACTATATAGCAGAAAATAGTGCTAACCTTAAAGCACTATTTCATTGCGTGGATGTGGAAACAGTTGCGCGCACATGGAAATCTATATTGTTATGCAACTTTCTCCACTGAGGTATAAGCATCCCGTTTGCTGTGTTTAATGCTGTCTCCGTGAAATAGACGGAGGCTCTGTTAGCAGAAAATCATGCATGTGCTTAGTAGGGCTATAAAATTGGGCCCAGGTTTGGTGAAGATGTTTGTACATTATGTATGTATGTAAGGCTGTTTCTTGACAATATAAATGCAGCAAAAGACATACTTTTGAGTACATGAGTAACTATTTTCAGGGGTGTTTTTTTTTAGGGGTGGGGGATATTCAAACTTTTACAGCATTTTAAAATTTTCATTGTTTGTGTCATCTTGTTAAAATGTCTAAACAAACACACCTGCAAGCCTTTTCACCCTGTAATTTGCAATCAACAAACCACCACCGCCAGCCATAAAAACGACAAACATAGTCAAGAAATTCCCCTTTTCAATTTCTATCATACCGTAGCATTCTGTTTTCCTATTCCCCATGCTTCATTATTACACAATTGGGCTTTCACCCAAAGCACAAAATTGTGTGATGCTGAATGGCAATTCTGTTGTATTCGTCTGTTTTCGCTTCAGGTGTAAAAATAATTGGCGGTCACTCTGCTGCATTCTAATCGACTCACAGCTACGCAAAATGAGTCTTGTTGGAATATACATAATACATGCACACACAGTAGTGTCATAGATAATTTTTGAATCACTAGCGGGATGCCGCGTTTCGCGCGGCACCCCCTAGCTGGGTGGAGTCATATACTAATATTTACGTTGACCTCAATTTGCATGTTGACCCCAAGTGGGCGTGGTAAACCTTGGTGAAGCAGTTTCGCCACAGTTTTCATCATCAACGTTATGTTTTGCGTTTCCATAGAGATAATGTTGTAATATTTAACTATTCAAAGTCTGAAAGAAACAAATTTGCTAAAAAAAAAACCCAAACAAACCAAATTTTTTTTTTTTTCACGTGCCAACCGTGACTTCGGAGCACAGTGAAATTGGAGCATTATATACCATTTAAGGACCTGCAATGCTGCATACAATAACCAAGCCTCTCCATTAACCATTTCATTTGGTGCTTTGCGCACACTCTTAAGGACTTTCACAAAAAACGTGACACACAGACATCAGACAGACAGTACAGACAGACATCAGACAGACAGAAAGCGTAGGATCTTTTAATTATAAGCATTACAGTCAAGTGCCTCTCACTCCTGTTTCCAGGGTGAGTTTCTTTTGCCTCTGAGAAAAATGTTGCTTCAATTGAAACAGCAGATCCTCAAACATTTAGATTTGTAGGTTTTTGGTCAGTCCATTCTGTAAATAGTTGAAATCAGTGGTTGCTTCTTTATGTCACAGTTCAATTTTGATTTATAAAATCTGTATTGGATCTGTGAGGAAAATAACATGTTTTAGCCTTTCCGTTGGACCTTGTAAAAGAAAATTCTTAAATTAAGTCCATTTTGGAAAAGCAAATCATAAACTAGACTGCTACATTTGTCGGCTTGCAGACCTGATTTTAAATCACCCATGCAAAGAAACGGGGTGCATGGAACCCACTTATTTCCGCCAGTCGTTCCTTTTGGCATCGGCTGATATCAGAACGTGCCAAGCATAAAACGAGTTTAATTACTGCGCAACGAGGGGAGATTGTCTCGGGGCAAGTACGCTGCAAGACATAGGAAATAGATTCTGTGATACTTAATCTCTACCGAGTTCCTTATGAAGTCTTTGGCAGCGAGGTTTTTTTTTGACAAGTGGCCACTAGGGTAGGAGAGCCTTACTTAATGACCATTCAACCACATTAACAGTCGATTTAGGTGGATTGGCAAATGACACTGTATTAAGGCACGCCATCCAGATTGTAAAATAAGCAGCTTTCTCATGAAAATTTGAAAGGTTACTCTTATGTCATGATTATAATATGCATGGTGTGCATACTGTACAATGTTTATGTGGTCCATGTACAAAATGTACCTATCCTACATACATGTATAGTTCACAGTGGATCAATAAGAAACAATTTCTTCTTTGTAGCATTTTCATCAAAGTAATCATTTGCACTGATTTTTATTGGACATTTGTATTAATTTCCTGTTGAAATAACACAAAAAAAGGAAAATCAGGGCTTAAAGTTCAATCATTAATTGGAAACGATAGTGCTAGATTTTAAAAAGCCTACAGTGCAATTTATTACATGCAAAGTGCACTACCATTGATTTACATGTAATTAACCTTTCGCGGTATCATCACTTCAACGCAGCTTGTGAAATATTGTCCAGTTACATGATATACAAATGGACGCGGAACGCGCAAACTCTGAGACAAACAAATTAACAAAACTGAACGTACCGTACAAAATTCCGTAAGGTTGTCTATAAGGGGCTTGGCTAACTCGCAAATGGCGGATAGGTCTGTTTGTAGACAAGTTGAATTGCAGCAGATTGGAGATTCGATTTGAACTTAAGAAACACATGATTTCGAATACATTCTTTAATTTAATTTCTCTTGAGAACATTATTTCCTGTGTATGTATGCAAATATGTTGACGCTTTAACGAAATTAATAACAAATTGACTGGAGCAGGGTTTGAACCTGGGACCTCTGGAACACTGCCCAGTGCTCTACCAACTGAGCTATCCAGACCTATGTTGGTGGTTCCCCATTTTGTCAATCTTTGTTCATGGGACGCTAGTCAGAAACCATAAGCCTGTATATATGCCATGTTGCCAGGGATCACGTCCAAAGTCACGATGCTAGCTTCATTAGTAATAGTGAAACCTGGGAAATAAGTCACGATGCTACCAACATTAGCAATGCTGCAAACCTTGGAAATTATCACTCAACAGGATACGGCTTTTTATTACAAATCATCAAATAAACCACAAAAGGAAATTGACTACATGTACATGTAGGCCCGATTTAAACAACACACTAAAGGCGGAACAAACCGTGGATTTTATTAGACGTGATTTGGAATTTTCTGAAAATAAAGTCTGTTACATGAAATTCATGTACATGTACATGTAATCAAACTATCACACCAGAGATAGCCCATGAAAGTTTGATTATGAAAAACAAATACACAAATAGGACCATTTATTTTGCATGTAATTTTTTGTTCCCAATAATAACACCACTCAAAATCCAAAGAAGAAGGCTCAAAACCTTGTTGAACTTTCAGTTCAGGGGATAGTACACTTTTTGAGAAAAACGTGAACAAACAGTGAAAAACCATGCACAATCCTTTGATCACGATACACGATTTCACCAACAGCACTCTTTATGCCGAAAGCCAGTCAATTGACTGATAGTTGGAAATCACCTACATTTCTTATAATCTTTTAAATGACAGCAATCCGGACGGAATAATTTCACAAAATGTTTAGTACCAGCATGATCTTTAATCCAAGTAAGTTTCTTGATAATAATTTGGTATGTTACTTTTGGGATAAATGCAAATGATCCTATATGCCTGTAAAGCATTAGCATAAATTGATCATGAGCCATTAATGAGATAAGTTTTCATTAAATTTGACGAGCGATCTTTTGTCCTTTATTTTTGTGTGTGTAGCTGATTGTGAAGCTCAAGGAATGGGGAGCCACCGGTTTGCTGGTCGAATACGAAGACACGTTTCCGTACACAGGGGAGCTTGCCGAGCTGGCATTACCCAATGCATACAGGTAATGAGCCGTGACGGCTGTGTGGTCCATCATGCATGCCAATAGGCTGTCTCTACCTCTACTTCATGTGATTTATAGACCACTACGGGTATGTGATCACTGTACACACTAGTCTAGGGGCTAGACGTTGTTTTGGTTCCATACGCGATAACCCGCTGCAGCAATAACCCGCCGGGGCGAGAGGGCATTGACCAACCAATATCACCCACGAACCTGTCAGAACAACATCTAGGCCAACTCCTAAAATCTCCCCCCGAAAAATGGGGGAAACTAGTGCGCATGCGCGACTTCTGCAGACATTTACTGTTCATTTTCAGTACCACTCATACTACGCACAACAAAAGAGCTGACCAGTGAAGTTGCACAAACGTCTTGCTGCATCTTTCACATCACTGGAAGAAATTTGAGTTTGCTTCGGAACTACTATGAATTTTTTGGAATGCGCGCTGCATATATTAGGCTAAACAGGTGCGCGCGCATTACACAACCAGTACGAATCGGCCTAACGTTATTCGGACGGGTTAGTGAGTGATATTGGTTGGTCTTGATAGCGCCCTCTCGTGGCGGCGGGTTATCGCTGCGGTGGGTTATGGCGTATCAAACCATTACAACGTCTAGCCGCTAGACTATATACACACATGAAGATCCCTTCTATGACAGCAGCATTGTGTAGCAGTTGTGCAGAGCAGCTGCCCCGTAACAGATCATATGAACAATAACTGGCGCACCGTTACTGCCATTGAAGCTTAAGGGCCCCGAAATTTTTTGAATGCTAGATGCTCCGTGGTGCGATCTAAGGCAATTTCTGACCACTTTAACCAATTTTTTTTTGAGGAAAAGATGGTAGTGTATGCAGTGCCTGCCTTTATTGCGACGTCACTTAAAAACAAAACAAAATTGGGTTCATTTGGGGGGGGGGGGTTGCATGGCCCCCGTTTGGCCCCCCCCCTGGATCCGCCAAAACGCGGCCCAGATTATCATGCTTAAAAGATCCTCTAAAAATTGGCTCTCGGTATTATTTTTTTTAGAGTGACTGAGAAGAGAAGGTTTTAAGGTTGACTTTTTTTGGATGATACATAAGAAGTGCATTGTTGCTTTTTAATCCTCAAGGGAGAAGGACTGAATGTTGAAGATGTTTTTCATTCTCCTGTGAGTGCTGAGAAAAGATGCATGAGAGGGGATATAAGTGCTGGGCTTTTTATGTCTTTTTGTTGCATCGATTGTTGGAATGGTATTGATGTTTTCTGTGGACTCTTGCACAAACTGAAGTATCAGATAGCAGTAGGACGGAAAATGGCCACCAAAAAAAATAAGAATCTGAAATGAGTCTAGGGAATTGAAAAGAGCGTTCGACTGCCGTAGTGTGGAGAAATTAGAGTACGATAATGGAAGGCGAGCCAAAATTGATAAAATTATTTGTGCAATGAACTTCAGAAAGTGTCTTGACAATAGGGGAACTGTTGTTGCAGAATTATCAAATTTCTAGAGACGCTCATAATTGTGTCATGTTACATGTCATTGCTTAAAATAAAATACTTTTTGAGAAGAATAAAAAATCTCAATGACGTCAGCCATGTTTATAGTGCAAGTAACCTAGCCATCCAGCCATTGAACCCGATCGAGTTTTTCAAGCAAATCTCAAATTTGGCACGTCAACTGCACTCCGCTAAGGAAAATCAAATTTCTACATGCATATAATTCGAATTAGGATTTTAGCTTTGAGATGTTCTTTGCATGCATAGTGCACTTTAGTGAAATTTTCTGAAATCTCTGTGCACAGACTGTGTAATGTTTATATCAGGGGTGACATTTGTCAGGATTTTTCCTGATTTTTGTCAGGATTTCTCCTGATTTCAGGATGTGTTTTGTCAAGATTGTTTCTGATTGCAAAATGTTTAAAGAATCCCTTTTGATATCTGGAATTCCTGAGGTGTTACCATAAAAGGTGTTGTTTTTAATACCTATAAAAGATTACAGAGAACAAAAGAATGGTTATTTTAAGGGGTGCTTTTAGGCATAGACATGTACAAACATATATACATGTACCATCGACCCTACCGAGGGAACTGCAAACTCTCTGTCGATTATTTCGTGAATTTTTTGTTTTACCCCGATATTGCCCAGGGCTGTTTACCGATTTTGCCCAGGGCTGTTTACCGGTATATTATGCTCAGAGGATGAATTAAAATATGATACACGTACACTTAAAAAAAAACTTCTCTGACAAACTGAACACAGTAACATGTGCATGTATACATGTACCGGTATTATTCTGTCTGTCACATCAAGTGTCAAATTCCCTCACAATCTTAGAATGCACTTGCCGTAAAAAAAGTTTGAGCATATCCAATTTTGGGCAAACGGACTATGATTGACAGCCAGAAAGTATCCAATGTCCGATTGTAATTTCACCTGTTTTGAGTAATGCTGCAACCACCCCCCCCCCCACACACTTTGCTATCATAAAAAATATTGCATAAAAACAGAAAATCACTTCATCAGTAGCTGTGTCAACAAAGGACATGAGTGTGAACATCAAGTGTTGTTCTTGCTCACTTGTCCATTAACCCTAACATACCTGAATCCATCAAAATCCACACCCCTGTTTTGGAGGATTTTGGCGGATTCAGGATACCTCCATATTGAAAAAGTTGGGGGATTTTGATGGATGCAGGACAGTATGCCTAGCAGTACTGCAGGATTTTGATGGATTCAGGATACCTCCATATTGAGCAGTTGGGAACTTTGATGGATTCAGGGTTTCAACAGTTTAACTCCTTGGCTATTTGTTTGGTGTGTATGAGGTACAATATATACACTGTACTACACTGGTGGATTCTGAAGGACTTACTGGTAGATTCTGATGGACTCAGGACACCAACTTTTTTTTGCATGACAAAAAAATTGGTGGATTTTGGCGGATTCAGGATACTTTTTAGAATAAGTGCTCAAGGGGTTTGGGTTAAAGGGACATACATGTACATGTACATGTAGGAGCATAAATTAAGGGTGGGCATGGCTGGGGCAGTGTTTAAAGCGCTCATCTCCTCTGTTGCCCGGGTTCGATTCCTGGTTCGGGTCATGTGAGTAGAGTTGTTCGTTGAAGGGTTTTTCTCCAGGTTCTCCGATTTTCCTCCCTCCGCAAAAAATTCAACACTCTGATCTGACTGTGCTCCGTGGTAAGACATGGGCCATATGGTGGCTGCCTAAAGTGTCTTTACACGTACATGCCTTCAGCTCGACCTTTGCAGTTTAGCTTCTGCTATGAGTGAGGACGATTAGCACCCCAAATTTAAATTACCCGGAGACATACAGAGAGAAAACCTTGCTCAAGTAACAACAGGACTGGTACCAAGTACACTGTGAAATTATTCCACTTGAAATGGTTTCAATCAAAAGGAAACAATCATTGAAGTTGGTTGAAAAAATGTATGTACATGTACGTCGCAATAAAATCTACATTTTAGGAACCCAAAATTTTTTGCATGTATTTTCTGTTTTCTCACATTGTATAGTAGTCAGGGAGCCAAAATAGGTGTTGTGCACCCTATTAAAGAATTTGAGGAATTGTGTTGCCTCAAATAGAAATTTATAAAAATCACAAAAGTAAAAGATACCGGTACCACTGTATGTACCAGCATGTTCAGGCCTTACATGTTTCAGTGCAAGACCCCCTTAAAAAAAAACGTTGAATTTTGTTATCACAACGACATGACATACACTGAACATGTTCATGTAACCATGGTGTGACAAGGACTCTTTATCAGTAGATGTATCGACAAATATCTTGTATTTGAACATCAAGTATTTTTCTTGCTCGTTTGTTTAATAACCGTACATGTCAGCAGGGATACATGTATAGAACTGCTTGTGTACACTGTTCTTCAGTAATGGAAGAATGTAATTACGATACACCATTGATAAGGCAAGATCCATCTGCTCTGAAGTCCAAACAAATACCTACCGGTAGGTTCTGATGATGGAGTGTGAAATCAAGTGTAGTTGTTTCATATTGACTCTAGGTTTATATTAACCATTTGGGAGGGCTGACACAGAGAAAAGAAAGCATTTGAATAAGTGGTACGGCAATTTTATGAGAAAGTGGATATGGCTTGAAAGTGGAACATTTATGAACTCTTCAAAACAACAAGCATCACTACCTCAATATGTGGTATCAAATTAAAGGGTATGAGACCTTTCATTTGAGTGATGTGGCAGTCAGATGGAATATGGTTTATCACAAACTGCTTTTTTGATCTAAATTTTTGGATTTTAGTTAACCACTTTGGCACCTTGTTTTTACATAGAAATGTAACTTTATTGAGAGTTATTCTTTAAAGACAGAGAGAAAGATTTGTATTTTATGCAAACAGATTTTTTTTTTTGTTAAAAAAAAGAAAAGGTTCCTCCCTTGAGCTGTGTCCGCATTAGCCTTTTTGGGTAAAACTCACCGAGACGTTGGTTACTTTTTGCCATTAAAGTACAGTGAGAACAGCCCGAAAAACGGACCTTTCGGTTAATTTTCAGAAGTCCAGTGGTTAATTTTACCGGCCAAACTTTGCCGAGTCAAAGTGACAAGGTACATGCACTAGATTTTGTGGTTTTTTTTTTAAATTCATGGTAGATATTATGGACACCATATCAAAAACGTTTTATAATGTCATACGTTATGACAAAAGAGGAAAAAGAACAGCTGATCGAGTGGACACGTGTTTAAGCCAAGCTCAGTTACTTTAGCCATTGTCTCGGTAATATTTTCCTGTGTCAAAAGTCCAAGTACGGACACATACATTGTGCATTTTACCCAATCAGTTTCTGTCTCAGTAAAATCTCACACACACAAAAAAGAGTCCAGTGCGAACACAGCTTTACAATTTTTTAGTTCTTATTAGAGACTTGACTTGGATACTGCAGTAATACAGTAATTATTCCTATTTTCCCCTCATGTACAGCATACATAACATAAATGATGTTTGCAAAATAATAAGGAAACTTTGTGTTAATTAAAACATGCTGGAATACTCTGTAGACATTGGCATAGCAGTCATCATGGTGGGGATCCTCTGTTTGGCCGAGATATGCCTGAAAAGATCCAATATGCACTCATTGTTAATAATAATTGTTCATGAATAATAATATCAGATGAGCACACTTGAAGATGACTTGAATGCATTCATGAGGCACGTATGCACTGGTACGATGTTCATCTAATGTCCATTAGGAAAATCCATAATGGTAAAGTATACATGAAGGTCTTCATGTTCACATTGAAACTATTGATCATGCTGACTTAATTGGTTTCTGTGTGGCCTTGTATTAATATGTATTTTTTTTGGGGACAATTTATTGGCTTGTCTTAGACGAACCCATTATTCCCTGTACCGCCCCAAAGTGGCCTAACTGTTACTCCTTATACTGCCCATACCGCCCCAACACTGTAAGGTTATGGATTCATTAAGAAGTTAATACAGTGTAATACAATGTAATACAAGTGCTACTGGTTAATTTGCTTCTTATTTCCTCATTTCAGCCTGGCAGATATAGAAGCACTTCAACAGATCACCAGAGACAATGACATGGAGTACGTTCCCTTAGTGCAGACGTTTGGCCATCTTGAGGTAATTCTGTTGTGTACTCTGTCTCAGCCATCTACATGTACCAAACCTCGACAATCACACGTCAGTCACAAGCAAATCACAAGCCAATAAGTCAATCCCATGTCATTCACAAGTCAATCCCAAGTCAGTCACAAGTCAATCGCGTGTCAAGTCACAATTCAATTGCAAGTCAGTCACAAGTTAATCCAAGGTCAATCATGGGTCAATCGCAAACCAATCCCAAGTCAATCCCAAGCCAATCCCAAGTCAATCCAAAGTCAATCATAAGTCAATCATAAGTCAATCATAAGTCAGGTCTCAAAGAAACAAGGGATGAACAGGCAAAATACATGTACATGTATGTTCCTCTAGGCTGTCAACTCCTAGCTGTACATTACGAATGTGTAGACAATTGTGTGAAAAAGCACATGTGAAAAACTTTGTGATCAAATTATCTTTTTTTGGTATGACAGATGGTGTTGAAGCACAACAAGTTTGTCCATCTGAGGGAGGTAGCAGAGTTTCCAACTAGTATTTGCCCCTCAAAAGAAGGTATGTTCAGTCTTGAAAAATGTGAAAATAATAGTTTCATGATCTAAGTTTCTATTTTATGTAATAAAAGAATAATTGTATTGTGTGATGAGATTTCAGTCTTTGAAATTTTGGTCTTGGAATTGTTGATGATAGCTTTCAGCATTGCCCAGTTTGGCTACTGATTAAAATTTTGTTTCCTTACATTGTACTTTGAAAAAGGATAAATTTTGATTTGTGCTGCAAGTTATGATGCCTTTTTTAAAGATGACGTTTCAATGAAAATATTTCTTCTTCAAAAGTGACAAATTATGTGAGTTTGCTTTTAGATAAAAAAAAAAAACATGTTGAAATTTTTGGAACTATTGGAATATTAGGAATTGTTGGTGACATTCTTCAGCATTTCTCCTTCCATGAATTCATAAATCACTTATGAATACCACCCCCTCCCCCCCCCAAAAAAGAATAAATGTATCACATTTTCATTATAAACAATTTGCTGAGATTTGAGCTTGTTGAAAATCCAGGATTCTTCTCATGGTGCTCCAAAGGTCATTGAAGTTTAGTCCCTGGCGCCCACGGTTGAATCATTATTGATTGATGTCCTAATTGCAAGTGCAAAGATTAGAGTTGACGCACTTTGTCCGGCATTCACACATCATTCACCTTGGGCCAGCATTGTGACCTCTCACCTTCCCCTCCTCCCCTCTCCTCCCCCCAGCCCAAAGTGCCGGGGTCTATTTGCAAAATCACCTGTGCAAAGTCTGGCCGGAAACCCGATGTGATTGATCCAATCAATTGACCTAGTTCATTGTGGAGGGGTTCGGATGTCAGGAGACCGGGCTCAGGAGTTTGAGGTTTTGCACGTGCCTTTACTCCTGAGTCTTTCCTGAGTTTGAATTTTATTGCCCTGACAAAAGTGGGAAAGCTGCGGCCGTGGCAGTAGAGGGTGCTGCCAACAAAATGAATCGAATCTGGTCTTGGGAACTTCGACAGTGCTACCCAGGAAATGCCGAGCATACCTCATATGCCCTGTATTCAAGCTTATAGTTATTATTATTGTTATTTTACTAATATTATTATTTATTTCTGGTAATGAAACCAATGATTCATGAAAAGCGCCCTAGGCACTGTAGCTCGTAAGCCTGAAGAAACCTGAGAGAGGAGACAATGAGGAGAAATTACAGTTTTAGAGGTGGGAGGAAAAGCCCAGAAGAATATTCTGGGGGAAACCCATGGAATCAGGTAGGGACTGAAAACCCAATCCACATATTGGCCCAGGCGGGATTCGAACCGGGGTCACGGCAGTTGAAGGCAAGGAAAGTACCGCTACGCCAACCTGACTCCCCAAGAGTTCCCAAGACTGGATGTGATTCATCTAGCCGATAGCAGCCTATACCATAGCGGAGGCTGTACCACATATGTCAGGAACCGGTCGTATAATTAGGGAGATAAAATACAAATCAAGTCTGGGACCCAGACTACATGTACGTCTTTCCTTGCAGTTGGAAAGTGTTTGGTGACAATTTTAATTCATATCTTTAATGCATTTCAAGTATAAAGGGTCACTCAAAGTAACTACGTGTAAATTGCTACTGATGAACTTTGTTTTTGACTTTTCTAACTGATTTAGAACTTAACTTCATGGAACAGCCACTGATTTCCATGTTTAAAAAGTTGGATAGCTCATCGGCCATTGTGCGCCCACACATTTGAAGCTACGCGCTGGTTCCCAATCTCTCAATTCAAATAGGGTGTGGGAACCAGTATAACCACTCCCATCGTACATTTATAATAATATTGAGAAAAAAAAAAAAGTACATTAGGCCAAAAAAAAAAATAAGTCGGTCTCTGGTCAGCGCGCGCGTCGATTTTAATCATGCGCGTCGATCTTTTTTTTTCCAAACTGTTCCGCTGTAGCTTCAACAGCGCCCTCTATTTCCGCACCTCCTCAATTTTTTTTACCAAAGAGCACCAAGGAATGGGAAATTGCACCAAGGCAAATGATCGAAAGCACCAAGGCAAATTATGGAGGACACCAATGTACATGAGGACACCAAAAAAGCAAAGTAGTACCCCACCTTGTCTGTACAATCCAAGCTTGAAGAAAAAAAAAAAAGCAAAAAAAAAAAAAAAAAAGCCGCGTGGCCGCGTCAATTCCGCAACTTTGGACTGACCAGAGACCGAATATTTTTTTTTTTTGGCCTTATTACCCGATTTTTATCGCAGCAGAATTTAATACAAAAAATATTTAAGTTACAAAATAATTTTTCCTTTTTAACAAAAGGAATGCAATAAATAAAAAAAAAGGGTAAACATTAGGTTAAATCAGGATAGATTTGTTTACAGTTCCATGGGAGTGGTAATACGGTGGATGGTGACTTCCCTTCTAATATTCAATGAGCTATCCTCTTTTTTGTGTGTATAGAGATCAGTGCCCGGAAAACCCATCTGTAAAGTGAGTTACATCTACCGGTACATGTAATAATTTGTTGTGATTTATTTCCATGTGTCCAGAGTCCCTGCTGCTGATTCAGGAGATGCTAGAACAAGTCATACAAGCACATGAAGGCCTCAAGTACTTAAGCATTGGCGGTGATGAAGTAAGCAAGCATTTGTGTATTGTTTTTACTTCACAGTGTGTCTCTTAAGGCCCGTCTCAATTCATATCCGGGATGAGTTCCAGACAAGGTGTGGCGGGAATACGTTATCGGGCAGGATTCTGAACAACTTCACCGTAATCTTCCCGCAATGAAATAATCAGTATTGATGAGTCAAGCAGTTGCTCATGAATTTTCCCAGGAACATGTCCGGGACAAATGCAGTGCTTCTTCTAGACAGAGTGAATGATTCTACCTGTAAGTCGTCCCGGGTATGAATCGAGACAGGCCCTTATAAGGACTACTTCGTGCTTCACATGTGAATTTGAAAGTGGATTTGAAAACATTGGCAACAAAATAGTATTCACTGAGCTGATTCTTGCCTTGGAATAAGAAATTCAACAACAAAAAATCAAATATAATAAAAATAACAAATGAAACTGACTTTCAGAATATGTTGGATAGTCAACAAGGCTTCAAATTTCATGATTTCTTTTATAGTTTTTAAGATTTTCAAACTAGTGCTGAAGAAAATTCAAGGACATATTGTGTTAACATCCCTCGTGTGAAAGGCCTGATTCAGTTTCATAGTTCCATGTCGTTAAACAAACACAAATGTGTCTTAATTCTCTTCTCCTTGTTTTTAAAACCTTTCTCGCAGTTTATGTTGATATGTTTACACACCGGCTTCATATCACTAATTGCTTTCATTCTGCTAATTGTTTTAAAATCAGGTCTTGAGTTTCAATTTGAAATAAACCAGACTTCATGGCTAGTGGTTGAAAACTTTTAGCCGATCAAAAGTAATCTACCAGACAGTGCCAAAATTTAAAACTGACAAGTTCCAAAAGCGGAACATACCGGTAACTTCATCAACTTGACATTTGACAGCATTTGAAGCCTACTAATAATAATCAGAAGTGAGGAAAATATTTTCATAGAAACAGTCATAGGAAGAACTGTATGTAGGCTCTGTCCTGTGGTCTGATGATTAATTTGAGCCCTGAAAATTATGCTGAATTTGGCTTGAATGTGTGACTTCAGCATTTTTTAGGATGGAAAATAAACGAGACTGCTGCAAACTGCTTACGGACTGAATTGACCTGCAATATACAAATTTATAAATATAGATTGAGGACTAGCAAGATCTCTTACAAAGGCAAAAAAAGACATCTTTTAAGCTCTATAGATCCTAATTCTTTTATCCTGAGGTCCTGGCCAGCTTTCTTGCATGTAAATATGTTTCCACAAAAGAAGAATGTCACAGGAGAGAGATTTGACCTTTTGATTTTCCCCAACCTCATGTGTGAAATTGCCAACTATGCCCAGGCATCCTCCAGGCCCCAGGTGACACCCCCTCATTATAAATTGAGACCTTCGCCGCATTTCCCAGCGGGAAGTCGCAAGAATTGCCCTCAGTGACTGACATTTCAACGCGCCCTATTAAACATCTGCTCTGTTCATAAGACAGCCGTCACATTTATCTAACTTCATTACTGGCCAATGAAGGCAATTAGGTCGGAAATCTAAAGACAGAGATGCCATCAGTTATCGGTTGGTCTTCACGGTTGATGCACAGACACCGAAGATAGGGAAGGATCATGGAAAGAAAACCTGGGATCATGCCAAGAGTCTAAGATGAAATCTCCTGAGATAAAGTCTGCCTGAACATGCTGAAAGATGATTACATACGGTACATGTAAATGACAGCATTCCAATAAAGCAATTGGCACCAACACTGTGCATTCTTTAGATACCACATAGATGCCACAGCGCTACTTATTCGAAAATGATTACATGAAATTCTAAGACTCATTGAAACCAAAATGTTCATCATTCCGCTGACTTTCGGTATTCCCATGGGCATGTGCATGTCATAATTTGACAAGTTACACCTCAAGATACAGACAGCAGATAAATGTACACAATTCTGTAGGACACTAGGGGCACTTTGTCAATTTGCCATCAGTTCTAAGGTGATGAAAATGAGGATCGCACATGAGATGGAGAACAAAACATGCCGCAACCCATAATTTCTGGAATTTAGTTCTTCCGGAACAACCATGCACATGGGAGATTGTCTTGAAGAGAAATACATCAGGTCTTGATTACGCACGCCCAGTTGGAATGACAAACTGGCTTAGGGTGTCCCTTTTTTTTCTTTGGTTCTAATTTCCGATCGACCCTATTTTGGGCCCCCCTTCTCCCCCCCCCCAAAGAACTTTTCTATTATCCTGACCTTGTTTGGAACCTTCGCTAACCAAAAAAAATGAGTTAATGAAAAAACTGCATATCAAATTCCGGGGAATCTGGCTCTGTGTTACTGGAAATGCTGTTGAAAACAATATCTGATTGTACTCGAAGCACATCTTGTGACGACCAATGCAATTCCAGATGATGCGATGGTTTTGCCTGTTATTATATTCGGGGTCTATTCTACAAAATGTTTGTGAGCTGCATAGTGCAGATGTAATGTAAGTTGATTACTTTTTGTCAAAGATGACTTCATTAGTTTGTTCAGTGATATGAACGCATGATAAACTCATTGCAATATACAAAACAAGAGATATTGGTAATAAGCACTTGGCATCATATGTAACTATCAATACAAGCACAACTTCACTTTTTCTTTCTTTCAGATTTTTAATTTTTGCCGACCACCGACCTACTACATGTACAAATGTACGTGTAACTAGGCCCAAAAAATAGGAGAATCATAGAAATAAAAGGGCCCCATATTGAGTTGCTCTATGAATAAAAAAGAAAATCCAGCTTTCTGTTCTGTTTCTGTCTACCTTATGTCTACCCAGCAATTCCACTGAGATGCAAGGGAATAAGAAACGGTCATAATGATGTTGATTATGCTTTCAGAGTGGTTCAAATATTGCCATAAATATCCCTAGGGAGATGAAAAAAGAGATATGAAATGACTATTTATGAAACGGAGAGTGGTACATGCAGAGATAACTGTAGATACTTGAGCCTTTCTTCCTCCCAAAGGCATATAGGCCTACAGATGCCACATGTTCACCTTGCACAAAAAGAAATTAAGCAGGGGCCTGCATTATTGCATTCAATTGTGTGTTGCAATGCCCAAACAAGACGCACAAAATTGGTTACTTACATTGCATTTTTGTAACGTGAGTAACCAATTTTGTGCGTCTTGTTTATCATATATAACACATTTTTTTCTGGATGTCATCTTTGGTGCTTAGGTAGGTCTAGGTCTACTCTATCTACCATGGGGATAACAGTTATTAAACCTTTTCAGTAAGGTAACTACAGCCCAAGGAAACTCAAAAGTACATCAAAAATGTAATGTGAATAACCGTGCAATTGCCCAAATGGTCGGCTTTTGAGACCTATTTCGCTCAATAACTTGGGCTATGAAAGTGGTGAAGTTCATTTGTTGTTCAGTTTAATACTTTATTTTAACTGTTTGTCCAGGCGTGCCTGTTTTGATAACTAAGCTTGGGGACATTCCTAAATATGCTTTTAATATAGAAAAGTGCATTTGTCGAAGGCAAAAGTAAAGCAATATTAAAGTTGATTATGACATGAACCGTATTTAAATTGTCCCTGTTTTGTTGCACAGGTTGCCCACGTTGGCTTATGTCACAAGTGCCAGCATCGTATCGAGACTGACCTAGGCGGCTACACCTGCTCATTGTACTTAGATCACATGACCAAGGTGTTACGGTACATGCGCAAGCAACATCCCGGTATTACGTGCATTATGTGGGACGATATGCTCAGGACCATCAACCCGAAGATCATGAACGGTACGATAATAGCTCATAAATCGCAATTCCTTGTTTGCAAGTCTGACAAACTTTGACATACTGTAAGCTTGTACATGACTCTTTAGTACTTGTACTGAAATAGACCGTTATCATGTTACGGACATCATGATTTTTTCCCATTCAAAACAGTGTAACCAATTCGAGGCTGGAAGGAAAAATAGTCTGGTTCCTTTTTGCGCAAAAAAAATCATCAGTCAGTCAGTTATTGGATGCAGAGAACATGACTAATATGGTGGCAGCTTGATAAAGGTCTATTGTATTACATTGTATTTACTCCCCCATAAATTCATAAAACCATAGATTGCTGGGATGGTTGGGGGCAGTATAAGGAGTATCAGGTTGGGCAGGTTGGGGGCAGTAGAAGGGTGAAAAAAGTTAATAAGAATTGAACCTGAGAATTTGGATTTTGATTTATACTGGCATAGGCAGGGATCATTGTACCAGTATTTGCACAAAAAGAATTTGCAAAACATCTGGACTGATATTTGAGGTTGCATTATTTGGTCCTTTTGTAAATATAATTTTTTTTTTTTTACATCTGTGTCAGCTGTGTAGCCATACACTCATTTTCCTACTCATTGCAATTTTTTATTTCATAAAAAAGAAGATGGCGATATTTTACACATACATGTAAGGTGAAGCACACTTGAACACTTGTTGCAGTCTAAAAAAATTTGAAATATTGTACTTACATTTTTTTTCTTTCTAAAATGTCTGCAACTTAGTAGTTATCTTTGTGATCATAGCAAATTGTTAATTGGGATTATCCCCCATAGAACAGACACAAACAGTCTTTATCAAGATCGTTTTGAATTTCAGATTTCAAACTCGGTGAACTGGTCGAGCCAATGGTGTGGAATTACTCCGATGATATCACGTCATTCAGGCTGCGTTTTCATCAAGGCATGTGGCAAAACTATGCCCAGGTTTTCAAGCACTTCTGGATAGCAACTGCCTTTAAAGGTAAAAAAATAGAAAAAAAGTGATTCACTTTCTTTGCAAATGCGTTCTATGAGGCCTACTCACGACAGCCAGTACATGTATCAACTGGTTCTCTCGTATTCATGTATGCCTCGGCACATACATGGCCAAGTTTCATATGAAGTTGCAAAAAAAACCCTGTGCTTTATTACAAAACCTTATCTGTTCATCTGTTATCTTGCCCAGATCTTTTTTGTTGTTGTGAGGAGTGGGAGGGGAGGGGGGATTCTGCCTCCACTGAAGAAAATCATCCCCCCCCAAAAAAAAAATTCAGAAAATCCCCCCAAATTTGTTCAGTCATCAAAGCGAAATCGTTGATTTGACTTTTCTTGAGTTGATTTTTTTATAACTTTTTTCCAGGATCCTTTGGTCACACTCTGTACTGGCCTCCCGTCAAGCTCCAAGTTAAGAACCACCTACTGTGGCTACAAGAACTGGACAAGGAGATTCCCAAGACCCTGGCGCTAAGGGGCTATGCACTGACTGGATGGCAGAGGTACGGTTAAGGTGGAAAGGGGGGGGGGGTGATGGCATGACTGGAACCCCGAGATCCTAACGCTAATTAGGGACCTCAGCTCCCCCGTGTCACTAAGACCAACGTCCCGCCGCAGCGTGTCAATGTACGTGGCTCGTCTCCGCCCCCTCCTGGCAGTTCCATGAGTCGGCTCCCACAGGATGGTGTCATGGGCTGCTAGCTCCGGGTGGCGGACGCAATGGCCTGCCAGAGCCATCCTCCTCTCCCTGATCTTGTCTGAGATATGTGGAAGGCCTCCATATACCCTGAATCAAATATAATCTCGTTTAGCTTAATGTGTTCCATGTCTGTTACGTTGCAGGTACGACCACCTATCAGTGCTATGTGAGTTATTACCTACTGGGATACCCTCTCTAGCTCTGTGCTTGCAGGTTCTTTTACAAGGTATGTAATGTACTCTGCCAGCAAATTCAATATTCCCCAAACCTCAGACAATTACAATTGTGTAAAGAAATAATTTTTGGGACAAAAGTACCAGAGAAGTACATGCTCAGGTACTTTGTCCCAAAATATAAATGAAATGTTCAATATCAAAATTGTTGCTATTTATGAATGTTGCAGGACATTGCCATGAGCATCATAATGCACAGCAGGAAGCCAAGATCATGAAGTTTCATGTTGATCATCGTTTGACTAGAGACATTCGCACGCTGCTACCGGTATTAAGGACCAAAAAAATATATATTCGGTCTCTGGTCAGCGTGCGCGTCGATTTTGATCATGTGCATCAATAGTTCTTTCTTTTTTTTTCAAATTTTACGTGGGAGCTACAACAGCGTCCTCTATTTCCGCACCGCCTCAAATTTTCTTGGGCAGCTCGACTCCCAAATGATGAAGGGCACCAATGTAAATGATGGAGGACACCAAGGTATATGAGGACACCAAAAGCAAAATAGTACCCACCTTGTCTGTACAATCTAAACTTTCTAAGCTTGAAAAAAAAAAGAGGCCAAACCCCCCCCCCAAAAAAAACACATCGCCGCATCAATTCCGGAACTTTGGTCTGACCAGAGACTGACTGTTTTTTTTTTTTTTGCCTAATGCGCAGGCACATTCCTCACAAATCAACCACTATTCGACTAATAGTCCGAGCCAAACTTGCTCCTTAATGTTAAGTACTGTTCCTTTTGTCTCCTCTAATCTAACCTGTAGGTGGTTACTCTCATGATCTGCTGGAGAGAGTGTCCAAACAACTTGGTTTCAGTGAGCCTTTTCAATTAGAGTTCCCCCAACATATCGAGTGAGTTGGTCAAGGGCCTGCCATTTCCTTTTTATTAGCTGTTCCCAATTTCAATTGGGAACAGCTATTGTTTTTGTTGAAGGTTTTTTTTCTTTCCTTTTTAAATTTTTTTTTTTTTTTAATGTAAGATTACAATTTCAATTTTAAAAGTTAGAGATTTTTGAAAAAAATCATTACATTATTTTTTACTGTCCAAGAGACAATCAAAATCAAGTTGGGAACAGCTCTGTGGTTGTTCAGTTACAACCACATCAGGTTTTAAATTTTTTTTTGTGGTTTATCTTCTTGTATATAATTGAGTGTTGAAAATCGAGTTTCAACTAAAATTTTGAAGTTGTTTTTGACACATAATTTATTTGATACCACGTGATGCTACTACATAGTCCGACTGTTTGATTTAACAGCGAGTGCCTTTGCACTACATGTACATAATAACCTCAGTGTTGGCCAATTTGATTACTTATAGATACTTGGTGACAGGACGTAGTTAACTCAGTGAACATGTTGAGTCCAGTAATTTGGCACTTTTTCCATAAAATCATGTTTTGTAATGCACAACAGACACAATACAGACTGAAAACACACATATGGTGAGGCACATATTTCATGACAACATGAGTATCAATCCTAAGCAAACTTAGCATCACAAAACATTCACTACGAAATTTACAAGAGATGAATTGTGTTCAACTTTGCTAGATTGTAATGTGAACACTTGCTGTGACGTCACATAAAATAACATTGGTGTTAGCTTTTGCTCTGAGTATGAACTAGCTCGTAGTATTCAATAATGAGTGTTTATGAGTGCAATGATTAGAATTATTTCATGAGGTGACAGATGGAATGTTTGCCTCGTGGAATGGAACATTCCATTTGTTACCGAATGAAATTATTCTTTCCATTGTAATAATGTGAAATATTCATTATTTGTTTTATACAACACCTGAACAAATCCTCTTCATCTGATTAGTCAGAGCCACCAATCGTGTGACCGTGCAATGGAACTTTTATTTACCGTGGAATAGAACCTCTGTTTTTGCAGAGCGGCTGGGCCTTGGGTTGGGACCAAAAATTCAACATGTGATCAACAACCAACCAATCAGCTGAAAGGAATATATTCAGGTGTTGTATGAAGTGAATTAAAACAGTGTTCATGAAGTAATTATTTTTATTTTTGTTTGGCCCTGATCAGATCTCTGGATCCCAAGGTGGCCTTTTCCGGCAGTGATGTCTACTCTGCTGTCCAAGATTTGGTTATATTTGAGTCTTCGTCCCGATTCAAGGATTTCATGAGTCAGAGCCAGCTTCATGCAAACACGTGAGTTGTTTTGAACGTTTTTCCCTTGGCATAAGTTGGGATCCAGTTCCATCTTCCTTATTTGGATCCAGTTCCATTTTCCTTGTTTGGGATCTAGTTCCATTTTCCTTGTTTGGGATCTAGTTCCATTTTCCTTGTTTGGGATCTAGTTCCATTTTCCTTGTTTGGGATCCAGTTCCATTTTCCTTAATTAGGATCTATTTCCATTTTCCTTGTTTGGGATCCAGTTCCATCTTCCTTATTTGGATCCAGTTCCATTTTCCTTGTTTGGGATCTAGTTCCATTTTCCTTGTTTGGGATCTAGTTCCATTTTCCTTGATTGGGATCTAGTTCCATTTTCCTTGTTTGAGATCCAGTTCCATCTTCCTTGTTTGGGATCCAGTTCCATTTTCCTTGATTAGGATCTATTTCCATTTTCCTTGTTTGGGATCCAGTTCCAATGTATTTTTTTCAAAGAAATTAACTGGACTGAATTTGAACCTACAATCTCTGGAATACTTTATCAGAATCAATCGGAACAGTCAACGCATTTACTCTCATAAAATCTGTATATCTAAAGACATGAAATTGTTTTGATGTATGAAAATGAAAAAAACAAAAACTGAGCAAACTCTACTACATGAACAGACTTTGAATGGGCATTTGTGTTTGAGTTTAGGAGGACATTTTGTCCCAAAACGGAAGAATTTCAGACATTTTGGGGTTCATTGTGATTGATGACTGTTCATAACATTTGAGCAATCAGGTCTATGTACTCTGTGTACAAAATGAAGATGGCGCTTTTGAGAGTAACCAGTACTGGTAACTGTATGTATGGCGCATTGTACGTGCAACGTGTTTTATTCTGATTTCTTATTAAGTCGGGCGCCTTCAAGCAATGGGTAAGAATATCCCTCCCTAGTGGTCTCCCCCACCTCACCCTTCCTGACTATCGAGGGGGTACTTGTGCACGGCGTCCATAAACAATAAATATCCAAATGTTTTCTTTCACAGGAATCCCAACGCAAGTATTGCCACCGATCTTCCCATGGTCCATTATTCTGTTGAGGAGAGCGCAACAGAGGCAAAAAGGTAAGTAATAAGCTCTAAAACTTTAAAATAAATTAAAAAGTAGTTAAATATTTTCATTTTTGCCGTCTACATGGGATACTTTTGGTCTGAAAAAACTGGCATTATAGTTTCTGAAGTCGGAATAATGTCGGAAGATGAGATTGAATGGTAACTAGTCAGTGGTGAAATTAGAAATGGCTCGTTAGTATGCGGCTCGGAAAAAGTCGAAGCAATTCTGCCATAGTTGCACATTATCGACAATGTGCATCTCATATCAAAATACTGAGATGTAGATACATTGGCGTGGTAAAATTTATCAAACAACATGGTGATTTAATAGGCCACTTGTTTTTCCGAGCCGCATATGTATCCAATCTTAGTATAAATTCTAATGGCCTCTAATGTGTGTGTGTGTCTGGTTGGGGGAGGAGCTAACAAGAGATGTTGCTGGGTTATTTGTTTTGTGATATGTGTTTTAATTTGCTGACAATTTGATCGGTCTTTTGAAGGTTTTCAGGGATTTTGCCTAAGGGAATAGTTGCTATTAGTTTACATGGGATATTGAAAGAAAGCGCCATCAGTTTCCAGCAGATTTTTGAAATTCATGAAAAAAAAAAATGTAAAAAATTGCCCAGCTAGCTAGGGTTAAAGGTGAATCAGTAACACCGGCGTCCTTTGCTCATTTTTTGGGGTGTAGTTTGTCAGGTCAGCTAGATGCTATTCGGCAGAGGGCCAGGGCCGCACTACGCAACGTCTACCACACCACTACCAATGAAGAATGGCTGGAACTACGCATCAACCCCATCCTCAGGGCACTCAAGATGTTCGTGGGAGGCGGGAGCATGGACGAGGTCAAGGAAGAGGACGAAGACGAGATGGAGGTTGCGAGCAGTTAAGGGTACCAGTCATACTGGTTGTACAGCGCACAATTATGTATCGTGTACCAGTGAAAACTGTAACAGTGGGAACTTACACAAATCTATGGAAGACAAGCACGCAGTGCTATGCTTATGTCCCTTGGCAAGCCAGTTTATCACAATTTTATGACTGCACCTAACAGTTAAAGTGTGGGAACATATTCATTGAGAAATGGCAGTTAAGCAGTGACTTAAACTATTTCACTGAAAACTCAACAATAGATTGATTGGAGATGAGCACGGAATGTCATGTTTGTCTTCCTGAGCAACGAACTTTACCACAATTTTTTGTATCCACCCAACAGTTAAAGAAGCACCCATGACAGCACATATAAATGTACAGATAGATGGCAGTGACCAGTGAATGCAAACTTTCCCACAGGTCATGTAAACAAGAGACCAATAGTAGGAGAGCGCAGAGCAGTATTCTTGTGTTCCTAAGCAAGGAACTTTACCACAATTTCTTGCCTTAACCATCCGTAAAACAAGCACCCGTGAGAGAGCATTCACTTTACATACAGATGGCAGTAACCAGTGATTGAAACTTTACCACACAAACTAAATTAGAGATTGATGATGGAAGAGCACAGAGCAGTATTGTGTTCCTGAGCAAGGAACTTTACCACAATTTCTTGCCTTACCCATCCGTAAAACAAGCACCCGTGAGAGTGCATTCACTTTACGTACAGATGGCAGTAACCAGTGATTGAAAATTTACCGCACAAACTAAATTAGGGATTCATGAGGGAAGAGCACAGAGTAGTATGGGTGTTCCTGAGCAAGGAACTTTACCACAATTTCTTGCCTTCACCCATCAGTAAAACGAGCACACAACCGCACATATGGGTAGTTATGGGGTACCACTATTGTCCACCTTTACTTCCTTACTATTGTTCTCCTCAAACTACATAGCGTTTCTCCTAGGGAACTGAGATTTCTCAAGAGTGACTTGGGAGGTACCATTGTCCCTATTGTTATCCATTGTTCCCTGTACCCCATAAGACCATATACGTAATCACGCCCGTACAGATAGATAGCAGAAACCAGTGATTGAAAATTCACCCCAGGTCAATCAAGAGACCAATAGGAGAAGAGCACAGATAAGTTTTCTTGTGTTCCTCAGCAAGAAACTTCACCACTATTTCTCACTCACCAAAAAGTATAGGAAGTTGCTGCTGAGCATTCTATTTTGCTGGGACTGAGTAAGAGGGGGGGTTTAAATTTTGTACAATCCCACCGGTAAGCTTGGGTGATCATCAACAACTCTGGAGTAGAAAACAGTTGCACATGTGGATTCTGCTTAGCCTTTGCAACTATGCCCGGTGTCATCATCAACAGTTCAGAAGTGATTTGAAATCACCAGAACATATTTTGAGTTTCAATGTGTCTTCTGGCAGTGAATCAGTTGGTTCTTTGAGACGGAACTGACATCAGCAATTGCAAGCATGCAACTTTTCTTGTTAAATATTTTCCAATCAGGTGGAGAAGATGAAGAAACTCTTTAATTTTTGAAATGTGTTTAATGGTCAACTGTATAAAAATTATCTGACATTGGAAAAAAATCTTTGTAAAATGTAAATAATCACTATTGCTGGTATCATTTAAGTTTTATTTGCACAACACCAACTTTGACTCATCTCAAGCAAAAGAAATGACAAATTTGATGAAACATCACATCAAGAATCCTTCTTTTGCTCAATATCACGTTTTGTGGGGTTTTCCTTAATAGGGGGAATTGTTTTCGAAATATCCGTTCATGCTTATTTTATTTCCAAAAATTTGTGACATGCACAAACTTTGCTATCTTTGTTTACAGTAACAGTGCAAGAAATGACATAAATCTCTCGAGGATGTCAGTGGAAGAGGCAATTCCTGCCACTGTCTTGCCATTTGTTTAGTTCTCGTTTACGCACACAGATCGATCTGCAAAGAGTTCCTGAGAACATGGTTTAAGCTTGGCCTAACAAGAGTCATGACATTGTTGTAATTGTTATGTCAAGCCACTGCGCTTGTGTACATGAAAAGCAGTTTCTTTCTAATGGGCTGAAAAGACACTCATAAGACCAGCTGATGTGAAAATATAAGATTTTAATTTGTGGTACGTTCGGTTCCACTCAAACGAATGTGTTTGCCTTCGTTAAGGCTCGTGCATGCTTCACGCGAAAGCAAAGCGAATTTCATGACGTCAACAATTGAAATTCTGTTGTGACGTTCGCCATTACCCTAACGAATTTGCTTCGCATCGACACTTGCATTAAGTATGAACAAGTGGCACATGGCCCTGCAAACATACGCACCCCAATGGAAGGATAATCAGGGGCGTCGCGAGGGGGGGGGGGGGGCAAGGGGGAAGCTTGCCCCCTGCCCCACCTCGTCTATTTAAGGCAAAACAAAATAATAAGTCGGTCTCTAGTCAGCGCGCGCGTCGATTTTAATCATGCGCGTCGATCTTTTTTTTCCCCAAAATGTTCCGCGGTAGCTCCAACAGCGCCCTCTATTTCCGCACCTCCTCAATTTTTTTTACCAAAGAGCACCATGGAATGGGAAATTGCACCAAGGCAAATGATCGAAAGCACCAAGGCAAATTATGGAGGACACCAATGTACATGAGGACACCAAAAAAGCAAAATAGTACCCACCTTGTCTGTACAATCCAAGCTTGAAGAAAAAAAAAAAGCCGCGTTGGCCGCGTCAATTTCGGAACTTTGGTCAGAGACCGAATATTTTTTTTTTTGGCCTAAGGTATCATTTTTGTATCAATGGTTGTATGAATGCAAGAAATATAAGTACATTATGTTACGTCTTGAATGATGATATTGAGCATTCAGTGTTTTATGACACTGGATTTTATTTTTTCCTTTTTGGGAATTTGGACATCAATGATAAAGTATGCTAGAGCAACAATGAATTTGAGATATATATTATATTCATGTGTTGTTGGAAAACATGTATGTACATGTATAGGTACAGGGTGTACTGTTAAAAAGTCACGAAACGTCGGACATTTTGTCAAAGTTTCAGTCAAATGAAAGAAAATGACTGATGTCACTAAACTCTTTTCTAAACGATATTTCAGTGGTGCTGCAATTTGCAAGCACGGAACTCCAGAAAGTATCTTTTTACTAAAAATCCAAAAGTTAAGGCTGCTCCAAAAATTTTTGTTGAATATTTGAATATTCAACGTCCAAATAATTTACAAAGAAACTGTAAGAAACAGTGCCTCTTCATTCCCCAAAATACAAATTTTCAATGAAAGGTTAACATTTTTACATGTATTCATTCAGTTGTGTGATTTAAAATATAATTTTAAACACATTTTTGGTAAAATCCCTTTCTATCAAAATAATTCTACCGTGTGGCCTTCATGACCAAGTTTTTATCTGAACTAGGCAAGCCATCATACGTATATCACTTTTTAAAAATAATGTTCATGTATGTATTGGCAATGTGAAAATCATGGGTTTTGTATTCTGTAAATATGCCTACCCCAAAACGAAAGATGTGTGAATTGGTGGTGGTTAGTCCTGTTTTGAGTAATGTCACGTGTGAGCACCAGGGATGAAGTCGAGTCCGTCAATAGTCTGGTCACAAGTAAATCCTACAAGTTCAGTCACAAGAAACAGTGGATAAGGCCAAAAAATAAAAATATTGGTCTCTGGTCAGACCAAAGTTCCGGAATCGACGCGGTGACGCGGCTTTTTTTTTTTTTTTTTTTTTTTCTTTTCTTTTTTTTCTTCAAGCTTGGATTGAACTGACAAAGTGGGGTACTATTTTGCTTTTTTGGTGTCCTCATGTACATTGGTGTCCTCCATAATTTGCCTTGGTGCTCTCGATCATTTGCCTTGGTGCAATTTCCCATTCCTTGGTGTTCTTTGGTTAAAAAAAAATGAGGTGTGGCAATAGAGGGCGCTGTTGGAGCTACCGCGGAACATTTTGGAAAAAAAAAGATTGACGCGCATGATTAAAATCGACGCGCGCGCTGACCAGAGACCGACTTTTTTTTTTTTTGGCCTACACAGTAAGAAAGGAATGCCTTTGTCAAAGCTCATTTGAATAGCTTGTGAGTTGAATTGGGACTGGAGGACTTGTGATGGACTTGCAGGGACTTGTGATGGACTTGACTATCCCTGGTCAGCACTGTACATGCTGACTTACATCTCTTGGGATTTAGTGCTACAAGAGCTGTTGAACAAAGCATGTTGCTGGTGTATGTACTGGGGCACGTGAGTTGAAGATGGTGTTTTGATTTTGTTAAGTCTCAAAAACAATAGGAAAGAGTTCCATACCTGGACATCACTTGACACCCTGTGCACAAACCCTATGAGACTGGTCTGAAAAAAGTCCATGTTTTTTTTCAGTAAATGCTTCAATATTTTCCCTGCTAATATTGACTTTTTAGGACATGTTATCGCTTTCTGATGGCTGATAGGCCACTGCAGGGAAAAATTAGTGATGTCCGTGTATGGAATTCTTCCCAAATGATATATACATGCATATGAGGCCAGGACTATGAGTGTTTTCCAACAGAGCTTTCGTTATGAAGGGAAGCTACTAAGTATTATCTCAACTCAAACCATTACTGAGAAACGAGTTTCATTATATCAGTGATTTCAACATAAAGGTCTACTTTTTCAAACTATTTCTTAAAGAGTACAGAAAATTGCGATGTCCTGAACGATTCGTCAACCCGAAAATGATTATTGGACCATTTGCAGCCTTTGCATCTGGAATATTCAAAGGTGGATTTCTCTCAGATTTTTATGTAAGCAAATTGATTCAATAAAAAATGCTATGTGCACTATTAAGAAAAGTATTTGAAAGTGAGATGTTTTCTTTCATGTGTTTGTGTACTTGTTTGCCAAAATGTGAGAAATGCTTAAATGATTAACGTATTGAAATCAAGTTGGTTTACTGAATTTGTTGTTCCAAGGTTAAAGGTCAAACGTTGTTGAATTTCTACTTTAATAGCACATCTGTCAAGCAATCGATTTGGAATGCGTTCCAGGGCCCTTAAGGCATCTTTCTTGCAAAAAATGCAAGGGGTTAGCCTTACCTTTTTAGTGAAAATCGGCCAAAAATTGACTTTTCTCAAAACGAGGCAGAAATTCATCTGGATACTATAGGACCATCAATCAATACTCTACCACACATAATTTAGAAGATTTGGGCAAAAATCATCAATTTTTGGAGAAAAAAGGTAATTTTTTGAGCGATTTAACCTTAATTTTTCGACAGAATTTTCCCCTTTAATAGCACAACTGTCCAGCAATCGATTTGGAATGGGTTCTAGGATCTTTATGGCATCTTTCTAGTAACTTTCAGGAAATTACATTTTTTGGCCAAAATTGAAAAAAAAAAATCACTTTTCTCAAAACAAGGCAGAAATTCATCTGAATGCAAGAGGACCATCAATCAATACTTTAACACACATAATTTTGAAGATTTGGGCAAAAATCGTCAATTTTTGGAGGAAAAAAGATAATTTTGGGGGCGATGTATTGTAACCTTAATTTTTCGACAGAATTTCCCCTTTAATAGCACAACTGTCCAGCAATCGATTTGGAATGCGTTCTCGGGCCCTGAAGGCATCTTTTCTAGCAACTTTCAGAAAATTTCATTTTTTTGCCAAAATTGAAAAAATGCAAGGGGTAAACCTTACATTTTTGGTCAAAATCGGCCAAAAATTGACTTTTCTCAAAACAAGGCAGAAATTCATCTGGATGCTGTAGGACCATCAATCAATACTCTACCACACATAATTAAGAAGATTTGGGCAAAAATCATCAATTTTTGGAGAAAAAAAGGTAATTTTTTGAGCGATTTAACCTTAATTTTTCGACAGAATTTTCCCCTTTAATAGCACAACTGTCCAGCAATCGATTTGGAATGCGTTCTAGGATCTTTATGGCATCTTTCTAGTAACTTTCAGGAAATAACATTTTTTGGCCAAAATTGAAAAAAAAAATCACTTTTCTCAAAACAAGGCAGAAATTCATCTGAATGCAAGAGGACCATCAATCAATACTTTAACACACATAATTTTGAAGATTTGGGCAAAAATCGTCAATTTTTGGAGGAAAAAAGATAATTTTGGGGGCGATGTATTGTAACCTTAATTTTTCGACAGAATCTCCCCTTTAATAGCACAACTGTCCAGCAATCGATTTGGAATGCGTTCTAGGGCCCTGAAGGCATCTTTTCTAGCAACTTTCAGAAAATTTCATTTTTTTTGCCAAAATTGAAAAAATGCAAGGGGTAAACCTTACATTTTTGGTCAAAATCGGCCGAAAATTGACTTTTCTCAAAACAAGGCAGAAATTCATCTGGATGCTGTAGGACCATCAATCAATACTCTATAACACATAATTAAGAAGATTTGGGTAAAAATCATCAATTTTTGGAGAAGAAAAGGTATTTTTTTGAGCGATTTAACCTTAATTTTTCGACAGAATTTTCCCCTTTAATAGCACAACTGTCCAGCAATCGATTTCGAATGCGTTCTAGATCTTTATGGCATCTTTCTTGTTACTTTCAG